AGGGCTGCCAGTACAATCGGACCATGTACAAGAGCAAGAAGCCCTCTGCTTCCAATGATGAAGAATCTGACACATGCCTTCATTAACTGGAGGATTCTATCACTACGCTGATAGAATCTATGAGCAGGGAGGGTAGAGCTATGATACTTCAAGCCATCAGCATCAGGACCCGCCTGCAGAAGGCAGCCACATGAATTGATGATGGTGGTGATGCTCTTCTCAGTCATTCAGTCCCTGGAGTGGCCTCCAGGTCCTTGGGTAGAAGGTGTTCCAGTCTAAAAGAGTATGTATAATCTTACTTTCCCACATACTAAAATAAAGCTATTAGATTTTTTATATCTTTTCCTCCAATGCTCTAGAAACTATTTTTTCCACATGAAGTTTATATCTATTAACTATAAAACAAAAACACTGGAAATTTTTAATACAATGGCAAAGACAATCTGAGATTTTTAAAATGTCAAGTGCTAGACACTTATCACCCACACAAATGTGTATCTACTGCATAAAAGAAAACACTGTTTTTAGGCAAGTTTTTAAATTCAAGACAAAATTTAAAAAGAAAATATATCTCTTAAAATTGATAAATTTTTAAAAATTGATAAACTTGTCATTGAAATGCACAAATAATTTTTTCAGAGGACTTAAAATATATAACAGTTTTAAATATAGATTCCCACACCATATTAATAAAATTGATTTCACTGCCTACCATGTAAAGTATTATTAATGCTTGTTAATAAAAAATATACAATTTCAGAAATGAGGTAATATCAGTTTGTAAATTGATTAATGGAAACTTGCCAGGGAATTTAAGATCTTGGTAATTTTCATTCAAATATCAGTAGTGGTTTGTTATCTTATATTTTGCAGTGAAACATTTTAGCATGTAGGTTCATATAACAATTATTCTTCCACTAGAAAAAATCTAAATACACTTTCCCCTTCTTTTATTGGGGATAATCATTTTTAATTACATTAGGATCAAAATATTCATTAGGCTCTTCAGCAAATTTAATTATAGTAGCAGATATTCCAAAATACGACTAGGGATTTCAAGTAAGTGCAAATGCTTTGCAAGGCTGTGTTTTTGTTACTTGAGCAGAAGGATAGAAATGTCAAAGATGAAGGGACAGTAAAGAAAAATGACAAATCCTTTTGCTATCTAAATTATGAAATAACATAAGATTAAGGCAACTTTTCTGTCCTCGGGTCAGCTTTAAAAATGCAGAACTTAAATATCAAATCTCAGAGCTCTGGTGTAGACATATTTATGCTAGAACAAATGGGGCTTCCTCCTGCTTCCTCTTTTAAAGGGATGGATTGCCATGCTTCATATGAGCCTTAAAGGAGAAAGTCTCTTGGTATTATATGGACATAATATTAACAATTGAAAAATGAAATACTAGCAAGAGCCTTGTAGATCAGTAAATAAATACTAAAATTAGAAGGAGCAGAAGGAAAACTAAGGGTTCACAATTCTTTTTTCCAACATTGTGAAGACTAGATGGGCTATGGATATACTGCAAGTCTCAGGCAACACACTGATTGAACATAGCAAGACTGTCAGGGAAATTCATATATTCTTTTCCTAGCTATTATCAATTTTCAAATGTTTTTAATTGACCTAGTTACACCATTTTTCCTCACATTCTCCTCACTTCAAACTTTCCTAGAATCCCTCCCCCATGCTCAAATACATGGGCTCTTTTTCTTTGGTTATCATTCTTGAGCACATATTTACATAGATATCCATATACACACATATATGCACACAATTCTATAAATACAGCCTGGAGTTAATTTTTGCTGTTTGTATGCTTACAGTTTCAAGGCTGACCACTCTCCTTCCGACATTCACTAATGAGGTTCATCCCAGGGACAGGCTAATCTACATCACAGCTCCTGCATTATGTCTCAGGAAATGAACATGCTAACATGAAAGGAGAAAAATTTAGTGAGTCCCACCCTTAGCCAAAGAGCTAAAGGTAACTAAATGGCTGCTGGGAGAAAGAGAATTGACCTCTCCTTGAACTCTTTATTTAATTTTTAGTAGACATCGGGACACACGAAACAAACAAACAACAAAATACCTCAGATATCTCTCATGATTCTAATGGCTATGGAAAAAAACCCTTACATGGTTCTGATTGCTTTGACAGGCACCGACTTTGCATTGGTTGGTCC